TCACTTCCACTCCCACCCTCCATCCCTCCCTCCTCTCTCTCTCTCTCTCTCTCTCTCTCTCTCTCTCTCTCTCTCTCTCTCTCTCTCTCTCGTCTCTGTCTTTTTGAGACAAGGTCTCACTATGCAGTTCAGGCTGACCTTGAACTCACTTTGTACCCCAGGGTAACCTCACAGTCACCATGATCCTCCTGCCTCAGCTTCCTGAGTGTTGGGATTACAGGCTGGCCCTCCTCATCTTTTGATCCTCTTCGTTTTTTCTTTTGGTTGTTCTTGCTTGTAGTACATAATGTTTGATTTCCCTGTGTGGGTCAGTACATACACGTAACATAGCCCAGTTCTTTTTTTCATCTTGTCTCTCTCTTCTCTTCCCCTTTCCTCCATCTCTTGATCCCCTCCCTTTAACGATCTGTCTCTGCTTTCTATTATCTAAAGATTGCTTTTGTGCCATTCTCTAGCTTTTTCATTGTGAGAGTCCAAACATATGTTCACTTTCCATTGTCATTTATATTTTTTACATTCTTTTCATTATTTTTCTATCTTTTACCTTTGGTTCAAGTCAGTGACCTCCCCTCCCCTCCTCTCCTCTCCCCTCTTCTCTGTTCTCCTCTGCACTCTGGGCCATACCCAGGAGAGACTCAAAGGGTGAGCCGTTAGGTGATTTTTTTACTGATTCCTCGCTTGTTCTATATTTAATCTCTTCAACCAATGTAATGAACGCTTTAATTTCAACTTTTGTCAATTTTTCAAAGTATATTTTATTTATTTATTTTGGTACCGAGAATTGAACTCATGACCTTGTGCTTGCCAGGCAAGTGCTGTGCCGCTGAGCTATATTCCCGGCTCTCAAAGTATACTTTAAAGTATATAGATACCAGTTTTCTGGTACAACTCTTCCTTTTTAAAAAATGTTTTCTTGCATGCTTTAAACATGATTATTTGACAGCCTGTGTCTTCATTCTGATACTTAGCATCACTTTAGGTGCTGTGTTTTTTCTCCCCTAAAAAGTTGTGTTAATACATACATAGCATAAAACTTACATCCCTTAGCTGTTGTTATGTATACAGTCCATTAGATTAGCTACAGTCACACAGTCCTGCAAGTAGTCTTCAGAGCCTTTTCCTTTTGCAGAGCTAAGTGCCATACCCATTAAGCACCAACCCTGCAGTCTCTTCTTCCTACCCCCTGAGAGCTAGGGTTCTACTTTCTGTATTGGACTACTTCAGGTAACTTAAGTCATGTAGTATTTATTTCTTCAGGACTGGTATGTTTCAGAGTTATCCATAATGGCCTTCACAGTGAAAAGATCTAGTCCAGAATCACATTTTACCCTTGGTTGTTAGGTCTTTTTAATCTCCTTCAGTATGAGACAGTTCTTCTGTCTTTCCTTAGAGTTTTATGACATTGATGTCTTTAAAGTTTGCAGGCTACGTATTTTGTGAATTCCTTACAAAAAAAAATTGGTACTGGGATCCAATCTATGGACTTATGTGAAATACATGATGTACCACTGAGCTACATCTGCAGCCCTGGAGAATGTTCTTGAGTTTGGACTGTTCTGATATTTTATGGTGAGTAGATCCAGGTTATGTATCTTTGACAGGAATGTCAGAGATGATCCTGTATTCTTCCTGTACACAATCTGGTGATGTAGGGTTTTAATTTACCCCATTAATGGTGATATTGATGTTGATCATTTGATTAAAATACCAGCCAGGAGCTTTTTCATTGTATGGAAGGTGTTTTGAGACTATGTAAGTATCTTGCTGTCATCAAACATCCGGTTTATTTTTTATGTCATTAATGGAGTTAGGCGTTTCTATTTTATTCAGTGGTTTATCATTCTGTTACCACAAACTTAATGGTTTATAACACACAACATAAATTTATTCATATTTTGGGATTTTTTTTTGAGACAGGATCTTGATATGTAGTTTAGGCTAGCCTTGAACTTGAAGCAGTCCTCCTGCCTCAGTCTCCTGAGTACTGGGATTACAGGCATGCTCCATCATGCCTGGCTTGGGGGATTTAAAGTACTGTTGTTTTAAAAGACTACAAGCATATATATTGTTGTATTTAAACTTGGAACAAGGTGGGTCTAGTGGCACAGACTTGTAATCCCAGGGAGCCTTGAGGCAGGAAGATGCCAAGTTCAAGCCTAACCTGGGGAATTTAGTATAAAAAATAAAGGCGGAGGGCTGGGAATGTAATTCAGTGCAAAGGCCTGGGGTTCGTTCCCAGTACTGCAAAAGAAACAAACAACAACAAACCTTAAACAGTGAATAGTTATTGTAAATTGAGCATTCTTAACCTGGAAACCTGAAATCCCAAATGCTGCAGAATTCAAAGTGTTTTGAGCATCAACTTGGTGTCACCAGTGGAGAATTTCACACCTGACCTCACATGTTGTATTGAAATCGGATGGAGGCACACTAAAAGTGCGGTACGAAGTTACGTTCAGGCTGTGTGTGCAAAGTACGTATCAAACATATGTGAAGTTTGTATCTAGACTTTGGGGGCCCATCCTTAAGATTATATGTATATGCATACCAAATGCCTAAAAACCTGAAGCACTTGTTTCATACATTTTAGATAAGAAATACTCAAACTATGTAGTGAGTGTTCAAGCTATTTAATATTAAGTTCTTCTAAAATATATAGAAAAGTGAAAACTTCATTGTTATCTTTTTTTTTTTTTTTGGTACCAGGAATTGAACTCAGGACCTCGTATTTGCCAGGCAGGCTCTGCGCTGCTGAGCTATATCTCTGGCCCCTGAAAACTTCATAATTATTTTTACATTTTCATGAGCTCCAATATTTCAAAGTACTAATTCTTAAATTGAAAGATGTTACAGCTTGACATAGTTGAGGCCTTTTCCTAGAATTTTTTCACATCTGTTTTTTACCAAATACACACATTTTAACCTGGTGTGGTGGCACATGCCTATAATCCCAGCTCTCAGGAAACTGAGGCAGGAGGATGCTGAGAGTTGGAGACCAGCCTGGTGAGACCCTGTCTCAAACAAAACAAAACAACCAAATATACACATTTCCCCCTCCCCAGCTTTATTGTGATATAATTGAGAAATAAAAACTATATTTAGCTGGGCATCGTCTTGGTCCTGCCTGGGCAAATTAGTGAGACCCTGTCCCAAAGTAAAAAATGCAAATGCATAAGAGATGTAGCTCTGTGTGAAGACTTTTGGTTCAACCCCCTAATACAACTCCCTCCCTGACAAAAAAGAAAGGAAGGAGAGAAAGAAGAAAAAAGAAAAGCCTGCCTCAGTATCCTGAGTAGCTTGGGCCCTGGAGGCACATACTTCTGCACCAGGCTATATCATAGGTTGTTTTTGTTTTTTTGGAGACAGGGTCTCACTGTGTAATGCAGGCTGGCCTGGAATTCACTGTGTAGCACAGGCTGGCCTCGAACTTGTAGTCTCAATTAAAACAACCAATCAGTATTGTTTTGTCAATACCGTCACTAGTCCATAGGCAAACAATGCTCTCCTCCCCTCCCCTCCCCCCGTTTTTTGAGACAAGGTCTCACTACGCAGTTCAAGTTGGCCTTGAACGTGCTTATGTAGCCCAGGCTGGCCATACTCACAGCAATCCTCCTGCCTCCACCCCCTGAGTGCTGGGATTACAGGTGTGTACCACCACGCCTGGCAGGCAAACAAAGCTTTACCTCATTCACATGTCGTTTTCACTGAACTCTGTCTGTGAAGCATGTGTATTGAACATCTACAGTGATCACACACTGCAGATAAAGATGTGAATCATATCTCTGAAGAATACAGTCTTGTAGACGAGGCAACTGTGTAATTAATTTACATGCAGTAACAGTTGTTACACTACAATTAAAACTTGTGCTTGAACTTTTCCAAATATTAGAAAATGCAACATTATAGCTGCTGTTGTCAACCATGATATTACTGTATTTTTCCTTGTAGTTACAATTTATGTTAAATTATTTCCCTAAAGTAAGAGTATAAATTGGTCTGGTTATGAAAGTTCTGGGTTGATTCCTAGCACCACAAACAAGGAATTAATAGTCTATGAACTGCTTGAGAACAGGTCTTTGTAGTATTGAATCTATAGTTTTTGGAGACAAACATGCCATTGAGTCACGTTCTCCAAATTTTATTTACTCTCCGTTAACAAAGAACAATTCTTTGACAAAGTTGTAATGATTAAATGAAAATAATCTTGTATAGACAGTGTCTAGAGCAAACAAGTGTTTGTTTTTTGAGATAGGGTCTCACTATGTGATCTAGGCTGGCCTTGAACTCACTGTGTAGCCCACTGGCCTTAGACGCGAAGTGATCCTCTTGCCTCGCTTTCACAGTTCTGGGGTAATGGGCATATGCCACCCCGTCCACCTACAAACAATTTTTACCTCATAAACTTTAGTTCTCATTTTGTACCTCATCTGTTTCTCTGGCCCTGAAAAATAAGCACATTATTTGATTGGTGAATAAATTTGTTTTTATCATCTAAAATTCTTTCTTTTTTTTTTTTTTTTTTTTGTCTTTTTGAGACGGGGTCTTGCTGTGCAGTTCAGGCTGGCCTTGAGCTTACTTTGTAGCCCAGGCTGGCTTTGAACTCGCAACAATCCTCCTGCCTCAGCCTCCCAAGTGCTGGGATTATAGCTACAGTGATCACATCTACACAGGTGCCACCACACCCAGTTTATCTAAAATTCATAATGGCTTCTGCTTAGTTACTTTTCTCTCCTTGCTGAGACAGAATACTGATGCGCCCAGGGTTAAAAAGGGAAAAGGTTTATTCAGTTCACAGTTTATAGAGGTTTTAGTGCATAAACGGCTGGCTCCAAGGCAGGGTGGCACATGGCAGAGGGCAACAGTTCATGGCAGGCAGAAAAGACAACAAAAGCAACAAGTGAGAAGAAGGGAGAAACAAGCCTCTTTCTGCCCCCTTTATCTTATCCAGACTGCTGGTATTGGGCGGGGGGGGGGGGGTGTCAATCCATTCAGTGGGCCAATTTAGTAATCACCCACCCTTAATCCCAGCATTGAACCATGAATCAGTCACACACTCTAGATTCAGCTGCCTCTGAAAAAGCCCCATCTAAAAAGTACAAAAGATTTTGTGGGGGACATCTAGACACAAACCATAACAGCTTTCCTGAACATTTTGAAACACAAAGGACATTCATAGAAACCTGTTTTTTGTAGTCACTTTATTATTTTTTTGTTTTTCTTCACTATGCAGAGTTTAGAACTCTTACTTGAGTTTTACCAAAACTGTGCAGTAAGATAGGTACGCTTCTGCTTGACAGGTGGGTTTCATTTTTGGAGTGAACTAAGAACTATGATTGTTCAAAGTTGATTGTTAAATTTGTATAGGTAGATTATGACTGCGTTTGCATAGTCTGTGGAATACTGGAGTTCTCTCAGTCTGATTTTTTTAAGTTGATATATTGGTGAAAAGGGAATTCTATTCCATGGCTTTAGGATACATAAACTCTCAATGCAGCAGTCTTTTTTATTGTTGATTATTACAGTTTCTATTACTTCTAGAAGTTGACCAACAGGGACCTGAGTTGAGGAAATTTTGTCATTCCACTTCACGCGGTAAATGCTGAGGCCAGCCCTTTGCCTGTAGGCTCTCAAGGGGTAAGGAGGCTCTGTGACCTTCATCCACACACAGCTGAAGATGGGGGAGGAGAGGGTTTTCCATTTTCTGTGTAAGTGAATCTGTGCCGTTGAATCTGATGAAGGCCCTTCGTTACAACACTTCAGTCTTTCTCCTGAGTTTTTTCAGTGAGTAAAAACATATTTAGGGCCCTTCCTTCAGTGTTATTTATATATTTTTAAAAGCCAGTGAACTTAGGGTTAATTGGGTAGAAATCTTCAGTGATCATAAATTATAGTTTTCAATTTTCTTTGATTTTGAACAGGAGAGCCAGTTGGGGTAGATTAGGTAGAAAATGAGCTGAAGAAACAAATATGTGTTATCCACGGCTGGCTTTATGTAAGGTGGAGGCATGTCTGTGAACTATATTGTAGCTTTTGAGGTTACATAGGAGAACCATTTAAGGAGTAGGTCATTCACATTTTTTTAAACAGTTAGTAGAAGTTAAATGTTTAAATGTAAGAATGTCGCTGCTGGATTTGAATTTATTTCAGACACACACCCCTTTAATTTAGCACTCAGTGGTGGGGCATATGGGAAGCTGTGGGTTTGATTCCCAGCACTACCACTAATAATAATAGTGGTAGTAATAATGTATAGAAAAATCTTAGGAATTTACATGCAGTTTGCAAGGAGAAGAACAGCTTGAAGCATGTGCCTTTCAGATATTTTAATGGCAAAGGTAAATTTCCAAAGGTCTTACTTATTAAATGTTGGAGGACAGGAAAAAAAATCCTGCGTTTGTGTTAGAATCTTACTGAACAGAGTTGTCCTGAAATACACAGAGACTGCTTATGGGGACGAAAACCCCAACGGCCGTCCTTTCCACTCTGGTACTTTTTGCCCAGAGTTCCTTTGACTCACCCTGCCTGCTTCATTTAGAAAAAATGTGCCTATATGTGAAGATACAATAAAAAGGAAAGAAGTAGAGTAAAAGTTACAGGCTACTCTATTTATTTCATAATTACATTTTTTCCTCGAAGATTTCATGTAGCATTTACCAGTATGGGTCATATTAACTGTTACAATACAAAGCAATTTGAAAATTAGTTTTTAAATTGAGCCATAATATATAAAATCTAATGATAATGTCCGTAGATCTCACTGTAGTCAAGTGCAGTTATCATACTCTTACCAGTTGTCTTGTAATAATCAGGAATGCATCCTCTGTGTGGTGTTTGGAAGTTAATGCTATTTTGGAAATCACACTGGTAGATCTTGTGGCATCCCTGGGTATATGCAGTTCATTACCGATCATAATGTTATTTTGGAATTTTAGTTTAAGGGGCTGGGGTAAGCTCTTTCAAATTCTTAGCGGAGTTGGTGGAAGACAAGGGTGATATGAGTGAGGAACAGTATTGCAGTGAATAATGGGAAGGAAATCCAGGTAATGATTCATCAAGTACACACTGCAAAGATAGCACTTTCGTAGTAGAAGTGGAGGACACGAATCGTTCAGAAGAGGAATGCCTTAAAAACTTATCGAGGAACACTCACAAGTACAAATAAGTGTGTATGTTAAAAAAAAAAAAAAAAAGCCCAGGTGTGGGCATGAGGGCTTCTGGCTGGCTTCTAGACATCAGTGCTCCGCACACCTCCCAGGGCAGCTCCATGTGGCTTAGTGTGAACAAGAAGGGGGCAACAGGCTCTCTTCAGGTGCTCCCTTCTCCGCTGTTTCCTGCCCCTCCCTGCATTTTCATGCTCCCTTTCTTGTTCACTCTCACTTTTTCTACCTTCTTTGTTTTTCTTAAATACAATTCTTCTTTCAGGAATGACTGTGAGACTTTGTTCTACCCATCATATACTGAACTTTGACGGCTTAATAAAGGACCATGTCTCTTACTAGTAACAGCGATTAGTAAATCAGTTAGTAAACTGTAACAATGAATTTTTTTGACATTCTGGATTTACTTTATTTTCTAGTACTGGGGATTGAACTCAGGCTGTCACATACTGCGCATATCCCTTCTTTATTATTTTTTGATAATAAAAAGGCTCACTAACTTACTGAGACTGGCCTTAAAACTCACGGTTGTCCTGTGTCAGCTTCTTAAGTATCTGGCGTTAGAAGGATGCACCACCACACCCAGCTACATTATGGTTTTTAATATAGAAAGATTTAAGATTGAGAGAATGTTACGAGAATATGAGTTCCTTGAAGATTGTTCTATCTCTGGTTCCTAGAATGGTACCTACCACATTTATTCATCAAATAAATGTTCAAAACATTACCCTTAAGAAAATTTTGTTATCATTTACTTAAATTATTTTAGCAAACCATTCTTGATACTTTCAGTAGAGAGCAGTAAAAGGAAGACATTTTTTTATCCTTCCTTTTTGGGGAGCATTGAGGATTGGTTGCAGGGCCTTGTGTGTGCTTCCAAGTCCTCTACCGCTGAGCTACATCTCCAGCCCTTTTTAATGTAGTTTTGAGACAGGATCTCATTAAATTTCCCAGATGGCCTCAAATTTGCTGTACCTCTTTCAGAGTAGCTGTGATCACAGACTGTGCCACCAGGCCCAGCATAGGAAGCTTTTTAAGTCTTTCTCTCGCTTATTGACTTCCCTGTTGCCCACTCCTTCCAGTATACGAACCTCTGGTAGTAAGAACCTCTGAAAGAGACTGAAAGCAGGATGAGTAGGTCTAAGGAGACGAAGAGGGAGATGGTAGATGTGAATTAGCACAGTCAAAGGGAGAATGAAATTGCAAGTTTAAAGTGTAAGGGCCAACATGAACATTTGAACAACATTATCAGGGTAGTTAACTGCCTGGAGGGCCAAGGCTAGTGGGAAGGACAGGGGTGAGTTGATGGAGGCAGTGGGGAAAGGTCAAGTTAATACAGTGCTTGGATTGGATTTCCTGCAGTAGAAATGCACTGGATTTCTGGAGGCCTGGATTCAAGTGCCCACTTCGCTACTTTCTAAATGGATGAGCATTGACAAAGACTTAATTTCTCCTGGGCACCAGTTACCTTAATATAAAATGAGGGTAAAACCCTAGAAGCAGAGGTCTAGGTCGGATTGTCGTGTGGAGCCGTGCGCAGCCAGTTTTCCTTTCATTAGTTACAGATGGTGCCAGCGTGCCTTGCTTCCCAGTGTGCGTTCCTGCTGGAGTGTTTCTAAAGAAGGAAAAGGGTATGGTGATATTAACTACCGTAAAATCTGTGTGTGACCTTAGCGCTATAAGTAATGGCTACTATCTCAAAATATGTATTTATTGAATATGTTTAGATATTTAGTATTTTACTTGCTGTTAGACTTGTAATAGCAGTCTAACAGATAAAACTTTAGTGGGGCAGATTCAGCTGCCTGACCTTCAACCACGGGGCCAAAACCAGGATGTAGAAGATAGCTTCTTTAAGTGGTGATGGGAAGAAAATGGTGATGGGAAACCAGTTATTCTTTGCAGCAAAATGAATTTAAACCCCTATTGCTCACTCTGTCCTTTAACAAAAAAGCAGTGAGTAAAACTCTTGAACAAATAAGCACAGGCAAGGACTTTCTGAACAGAATCCCAATTGCACAAGAAATAACACCAAGAATCAATAAAATGGGCTTATGTCAAGTTAAAAAGTTTGTGCCCAGCAAAGGAGACAGCCTACACAATAGGAAAAATTTTTTTGCCAGCTACTCCTGAGACAGAGGATTAATATCTAGAGTATATTTTTAAAAACTTTTAAAGACCCCCTAAAATAAAAGACCCAGTCAAAAAATGCACAAGTGAAAGAATAAACACATCTTAAAAGAACAAGTGGCCAGTAAGTACATGACAAATGGTCAGCATGCTTGGCCCTAAAAGAAATTGCAAATCAAAACAGCACTGAAAAAAAAAACAACATTGAGAATCCATCTTATTCTAGAAAAAATGGCTGTTAAGAACTCAAGCAGTAAATTCTGGTGAAGTTGTGGGGGAAAAGGTTTCTTTTCCCCTTCTACATTGTTGGTGGGAATATAAACTAGTACTACCACTGTGGAAGTCAGTATGAGATTCCTCAAAAGCTAAAAGTAGAAATCCCATTCATCCCACCTATACTTCCTCTGGGCATCTTCCCAGAGGATTCAGAAGACGTCATATTACAGTGGTGCACACATGCACATGTTTACAGCAGCACAGCTGACATGGCTAAATCTTGGAAGTGGCCTGTCTGCCCATCAATAAATGCGTGGGTAAAGAAAATGTAGAAAGAAGATATATATGATAGAGTACTGCTCAGCCATAAAGAAGGATACTTTTGAGTCATTTGTAGGAAAATGGATGACCCTGAAGACCATGATGCTATGTGAAATAAATTGGACACAAAAGGTCTCATACTTTCTCTTACATGAGAAACCCAAAGTGTAAGTAATTTAAGAGGCAAAGTAAAAGATTATAGGAAGCTGGACATGATGGTGCACACCTGTAATCCCAGCACTCAGGAGGCTGAGGCAGGAGGATCACTGTGAGTTCGAGGCCATCCTGAACTGCATAGCCAGACCCTGTCTCAAAAGACTAAACAAACAAACAAAAGAAGGGTATAGGAAATAGGGAGCTAGACTACATGGAGATGCGCAAGGGGCCTGGAGCTGAGAAGTGAGGGGAGGGAAAGTAAAGCGGATCAGAGTAGAATATATGTATGTACCAGTGCCCATGTGAAGATGTCCATTATGTGATAAAAAAGGGGTGGGATAAAATGCAGAGAAACAAAACTATTCTGCAAGATACAGTGTCTTATAAAATTCTTACGGCAGTAGTACTAATACTGTCTACTTAGTGTTATGAGAAATGGTAATTTCTACCTGTTTTGGCCACTGCATACTCTAGATGTTTACACTCAGACACGCTTTTTTGAAAGATGGTTTTTAAGACCAGCAGTTTTCTCAGCCCCTCCCGTCTCCCTCCCTCTCTACCCTGCTCACTCCCTTGCATTGTTGTTGTTTCCCCTTCTTTTTGAATGCTCTCATCCCACCCCCTTTAATACATCTGGAAAGATGTAGAGTTAGCTGCTATGGTAACTGCTGCATGCATTTTTATTAATAAATAGCAGATTAACAAGATACAGCATATGCCAACTGTGCCCAGTTCACTGCTGTCAAAAGCTATAGGAATACACTTTTTTCTTTTTCTTCGAAAAACGCCTTACCTTACCTTTGGTTTTGTTTTCTAATTTTTCAGTCCTAAATTGTAATGCTACCACAAAATATTCTTCTTTCATAGACTGTTTCACCTTGTGATTAACTTATAGGCGATGAATTGAGACCCATGAAAAATAATCAGTTGGATTAAGAAGTTGATTTCCTTTAGATTCATACATAATGAATAGGGACAGTTTTAAGAAATATTTGGTGTTTTGACCTATAACTTTTTTTTTCCTTTGCTTTTTGGCTACTAGTGCCCATTTAAGTTTCTCTCTGGGGTTAGAACCAGTGAGGTAGTATGTTTCTTGAAAGTGTTTCTGCCATGTAGGCCAGCTGCAACTAGAATGTTGCATTCAGCCAAGCCTTGAAAATTCCTGTAATCTGTACCATCCTGTCTCATACTGTCCCATCTCATAGTTGTCCTCTCTCTGCAGTGCTCTATGCCCAGGTCTCTGTGGCTGGGCTGCTCCAGCCTGGCGGACAGCATGCCTTCGCTGCGATGCCTGTATAACCCAGGGACTGGCGCCCTCACAGCTTTCCAGGTACTTTCTCTGTCTCCGTGGGTCATTTGCGGGCATTTGTGCGTGTGTGTGCACACGCATGTGGATGGGTGGGTAAGTGGGGATGTATGTGTGTGTGTGTCTAGTTCATTAGTATGTCCCTCCTTACTTCCCATTCTTATGTATACCTTTTCTCCTTTGTATTGCCTGTATTGCATATCACTTAGTATTCCTTTAATGATAAACTTTTAATGTAGATCCAACGGATCCACTCAGGATGTTTTTATCATGATTGGTTTTTTCAGGATGGACATAGTACAATGTGACTGTTGGTTTTGAGATTTAGTAGAAGTATGATAGCAAATTATAAAGGAATCTCAGTGAATAGCAATTCACTGTTTGATGTTTGCTCTAGAATGACATTAAGCCAACTAATGTGATCAATTATAGTCAATTACCTGAACATCTTGTTTTTTTAAGTGATTATTAAAAATATAAATTACCTTGTTCAGAGTGTCTCTTGGTTACTACATCAATATATGTGTATATCAACTATCTTTTTTATGTGTCTTGTTTAATGGTTCTTTTCCCAAAATAGAAAGGCCCTTAAGACAGTTGGATAGAGTATTTGCCTGAGACAGTCCACATAGTTGGTCTTTCATGGAGTGACAGATTTTAGTTCCCTCCAGCCTTTTTTATAGGCCAGGAGGTCAGTCAGTGCCATGATATGAGAGAAAATACAGAGGAAGCAAATGGAAAGTTGTAGAAGTGAGCCTGGTGCACATTGCTTATAGATTACTGTGTGCCATGAGCCACAGGTTTCTTGCCAGAAGAGCATAACTCATCCATCTCAGCTATTTGGAATTTGGTTTTAGCACTATGTAGTAATATGTAACAGATCAGGTTTTCTTTGCTTTTACTGTGAGATACAATATAGTAAAGTGTGTTGACTCTAAAATTAGTTGTTTTAAATATTCACTTTGTCGCTAATAGAATTAAACTGTTTCACTCCTTTTTCTCATGTGTAGTAAAGGCTGTGTAAGGGTGTGTGATGCTGGCCACTGCTCTCATTACTGTCAGCCTTGCTTGTGCTGTTAGAGAACGTGGACAGGCAAGAGTGCCCATGTACTTCAGAGAACTATCTTAGGTTTTTTACTGTATATGAAACTGACACAAGGCCCTGCCCTAGAGGAGTTCATAGTCTAGGCCAGTGATGGCCAACCTTTTAGAGTGTTCAGTGATACAAACAGCCCACTATGGCATGTGTACCATTGATTCACCCACACTGGTGTAACCTGTTGGTTTTTAAACTTTCGATAGGTTGCAGTGATTGACTGATGTGCAAAATCTGAGGGAACAGTTTCTCGAGATTGCCCTCAGTTTAGACACCAGTAGCAAATTTAGGGGGCCCCCACAACTACTTTGAGTTATGATAATTTGCTAGGAATGACTCAGATAACTTACTGAAAATAATGGTACAGTTTATTAAAGGAAAGGATACAGATTAAAACTAGCCCAAAGGAGAGACACATAGGGAAAATCTGGGACGAGTCCAAATATAGAACTTCTTGTCGTTCTCTCCCCATGGAATCAGGGGTGGCATTGCTGCCTTTCAGCCACAGTGTGTGCCAGCCTCCCCCCCCCCCCCCCCGCGCCCAAGTATTGCTAGCCACAAAGCTTGTCCGAGCCTGTGGTGTCTGCAGTTGTTACGGGGTCTCAATCCCTTATTGTGTACATGGCTGACCTTTAGCCCCCAGCTACTCGTGTGGGTCACATTAATACCTTTAGTGTCTGTTTCTTCCTGGTGTTAAAACTGGTAAAATTTGGCTCAGAAGGTACCAACACAGATCACATTTGTCCAGTAGCTAAAGTCATTGGCAGAGACATTCCTATCGTGTTCCAAGGACCTAGAGACCTTCACAGGGCAGCGGCTGGATTTCTCTTTGGATAAGGCTAATTCTTCACTACCTTAGTGTCACAGCCCCTTTGAGAATCATCACTTTGGGGTGGGAGGGGTTGGTACTAGGAATTGAACCTGGGGCCCTAGTACTGAGTGAGCTACATCCCCAGCCCTTTCTATTTTTATGTTGAGGTAGGATCTTTCTAAATTGCCCAGGCTGGGCTTGATTTGCTCCTGCCTCGGCTGCCCCCCTTGAGTGCTGAGATTACAGGCATGCACCGCCATACCCAGTTTCCCTTTGGCAATCTAATGAGAACTATTGAATAAATACACATAAAGTTACATACATGATTATTAGGGTTTTTTCACTGTAAGCCACATAATCTCAAAAGTATAACCTCCCAAATTGATACATTTTATGAAGGAAATGTGCAGTAAGATGGAAGGACATATGAGGGACTTGGGGGCTAAGGGTTTAGCTCAGTGATAGAGCTCCTGCTTCCGAATGTCTGAGGCCCAGCACCAAATGAATGAATGAATGAACAGGAAAGAGAAAAAAATAAAGGACTTGGTCTAGCCAGAGGGCAAAGATAAGGAGGGTCAGTATTTAAGATCCAAAGGATGAGTAGGAAATAAGTAAACAGAAGAGTGCAGAAGGGGACATTTCAGGTGTAAGGAAGGTCCTGTCCAAGACCCCTAAAGACAGGTATGGCTTGGGTACATTTGAGGGTCCTGTAGAAAACAAGACTGCTATTTCCAAGAATAAAGAGCGGGGAATGAGTGAGAAAAGACTGGAGAAATGAGGAAGCCATGAATAGGAGGCCACCGAAGGGGTGTGCACGTGAGTTTGACCTGGTCAGATGTACATCACGCTGGCTGTAAGAAGTTGGATTTAGATACCCTGGGGCGGGGGGAGGGAAAGAGGGGAGACAGTGGGAGAGTAATTAAACTGAGAGGGGAAGGCAGTTAGGTTTTGGCTTCACAGTCCCTTTGAAGTCTTTATTTTTTTGGGGGGGGGGGTTTTGGTTTTTCTCCGGTACCGGGAACCGAACTCACGACCTTACGCTTGCCAGGCAGGCGCTTTTTGCCGCTGAGCTAAATCCCCAGCCCCTCCTTTGAAGTCTTTAAAAAATTACCCTAAAAGTACTTTTATTGGTGTGAATTGTACTGTATTTGAAATTAGAATGTGAAAAATGCAAGCATTAATTCATTTAAAAAATAACTATAATGAATCTATGCCATGTTAATGCAAAGAACATTTTTATTAAAAATAACTATATTTTAAAAAACTAAAACTGGCATTGTGTTATATTTCTTCTTCCTTTGGATTTTTTGGGACAGAGTCTTGTTGCGTAGTTCAGGCTGGGTTTGAACTCTTGTGTAGAACAGGCTGGCCTCAAACCCATAGCAATCCTCCTGCCTCAGCCTCCAGAGTGCTGGGTTACAGGTGTGTGCCACCACATTGGCCCCACTGCGTTACATTTTTACAAGTCTAATATTTAGATTAATAAAAGACAACTGGATCTACTGCTGCATTTTTTTTTTTTTTTTTTGGTCTTTTTGAGACAGGGTCTCGCTATGCAGTTCAGGCTGGCCTTGAGCTCACTTTGTAGCCCAGGCTAATCTTGAACTCCCAACGATCCTCCTGCCTCAGCCTCCCAAGTGCTGGGATTACAGGCATGTGCCACCACGCCCGGCTTGCTTCTGCATTTAGTCAGTGTCAATGTTTTATTTGAAGTAGATGAAGAATATCTGGCCTCATACATAGTTTTGAAAGAGACAGAGATGTTTTACTGCATATACTTTCCAGGTGGTTGTAGTTTCCTAAAGATTAGTTGCAGTGTAGGATCTGAAATCTCATCAGTGAACTACTCTGTAATTATATTAAAATCCATTGGTCTTATTTTTTCAACAAATTATGCTATAACAATTGTATATGCATATGTAAAACAATGACGCTTGACTTTTACATTGTACCATGTGTAAAAATTAATTTGAAAAGAACTGTAGACCTAATTATGAATGAAAATTATAAAACTAATAGAAAATGTAGGAGAAAAAAATCGTTGTGACTTTGGGTTAGGCAAAAATCTCTTGGATGTGACACACAAAAAATGAACCTTAACCAACAAATTGGGCTTCCTCACTGTTCTATTTTTTTATTTGTTTGTTTTTGTTTTTGTTTTTGTTTTTCTTCCTGTACCAGGAATCGAACTCACAACCTTGCGCTTGCCAGGCAGGCGCTGTGCTGCTGAGCTAAATCCCCAGCCCCGTCCTCACTGTTTTAAAATTTTTGCATTTCGGAGGATATGTTTTAGGTTAAGGAAAGAGTTCATTGGCCTTTACTTAGTGTGTGCAAGACCCTGGGTTCAGTCTGCAGTATTGCAAAAAAAAAAAAGGCAGGCACACACACACACACACACACACACACACACACTCTGCAGTATTGCAAAAAAAAAAAAAGGCAGGCGCACACACACACACACACACACACACACACCCGAAAAGAAAAAAACAAGTCTTTTATGAAAGAATAGGTAAGGTAAAGACTGAGAGAAAATATTTGTAAAATACATATCTACAAAAGTCTTTGTATTCAGACTATGCAAAGCACTCTTCTTATATATTATACGATAAAATACCCAGTATAACAATGGGGATAGCTGGATGTGGTGGCACATGCCTGTAATCCCAGCACTTGGAAGGCTGAGACAGGAAGATCGTTGGGAGTTCGAGTCCAGCCTGGGCTACAAAGTGAGGTCAAGGCCAGCCTGAACTGCATAGCCTGTCTCAAAAAGACGAAGAAAAAAAAAATACGGGGAAAAATTGAACAGATGCGACATCAAAGAAATACAGATACCTAGTGAGCACATGGGAAGCTGCCCATTATTTTTGGTCATCAGAAGAATGCACAGGTAGGATGCTACTACGCGGCCACCCACATGCCTCTTCTCACTTCCAGATGTGGGCATAGAAATTTGGGAGGCCTTAGGTAGTTAATATATCGTACCCTAATTTGGGAAATGTTAGTAGTTTTCCTGAAGGCAGAGACATGTTGACTGCTACAATGTCCATAGAGCACTTAGTACTTGGGCTTGGTAAGTATTGATGGTTTAAACTATATTAAATAAGTGGTAAAGAT